GCGGGCAGTATCTGAATTTCAAAGAGAAAATCAAATTTCTAGAAAGTTCATTTTCTGCCTTTTCATATGACACCTCAATCAGGAAATCAGTTCTGTTTGTTTAAAGTAATGCTTGCATTTCCATAATTTGATTACCGGTAAACAAATTTGTTTTCACTGGCTGCCTGCCGTAGCAACAAACAGAGTTGACAAAAGACTTAACTCCATTTCGTTGACGATCAGCCATGCACAAAGAAGATGAAAGACTTGATGCATGGCTGATTGTCAACGAAACAAGTACCTCCTTACACTGTTATGCACAGCCTTAAAGATAATCTTGAGTTCTGGTAAAAAAAGGAAATGAATTCTCACAGAATCAAACAAAACTTACACTGAATGTTCAAGATTATAAATAAATGTTATTTACCAAACAATTTTGGTAGAAAATGTATACTGGCTGAGTAATGAGCATAGAAAGATAAGTAAATCAAGCTAACTAGCCCCGACACCATTTGTGTAGTGATACTGTAGTCCCATATACATCTTTCTGTGTACAGTGCTTGTTACTTTACCAAGACTGGGCCAAATTTATTAGGATTTTGATGAATCCGGAACTTTGCAGTATGTACATGTTACATGGTCACCCTTTTTTTTTTTATCCATTCCACACCTTTTCTTTCACAATGCAATTCCATGACTAGAACTCAACTTTATCTTTAATAGCATATCCTTCAAAATGTCACAAGAATCCAGCATCCCAAACTTTAAAAAAATTAAATCCTATCAGTAAAAAAATTGTTATTAAAGAATTGCATTTTGTGACTTTTACATAAGTATAAAACAGTATGAATACATTTGTAAACAGAAGTGGGTTAACTATTCAACAAGCAAGATCATGGCCCACAGTAAATGATCACAATAATATGGCTGACATAACTTGACCTGATGAGTAATGATAATTTCAATTAAAAGAGAGTATTGAGAAGCAATTATTATTACATGTAAGTGTACAGTGTAATACTTTTACATGAATATTTAACCAAAACATAATTGTGGAATAATTATGAAATGTTTAGATTATTGAGCAAGAATCGATATTAAGACAATGGAATGGTGACTTTAGTCATGGTTAGTGGGTCATACCACTGCTTGAATTTATAATGAATGGGCATTCTATAGCTTTCAAGCCAAGTATGGTATGCTAAAGCTACATGAATAGCAAGTACAGTGTACATTTACTGTACTACCACCTTTGAAATATTTGTGTTGTTGTTGAACTCAATTCAACTTCTAACCTAATGATTGCATTGGAATTATTGTAATAAACAATTAACTGCAGTGTACACATCCTTTCAATATTCAATTATTAGGCCTATATTCCATCTAGACATCAATACATTTCAGAATGTGAATTGTTAGTTATTTATTAAAAATTGTCTACTAATAATTTGTGGGATTGTTATATTTTACACAAATATACCAATCTTTGAGAAAGCATAGTGTTATATTTTACACAAATATACCAATCTTTGAGAAAGTATAGTGTTATATTTTACACAAATATACGAATCTTTGAGAAAGTATAGTGGAAATTATTTGTCTGAGGGGGGACTGGCATAGTACTTTTTTCTGAGGGGCATTTCGAACTAAATGCTTAGTGTATTTGTTATATGTCTCTTCTTTACGCCCCGAACGGATTGATCTGGATCGAGCGCTATATAGGATGGGCTAAAGTACCGGTGACTTGTGCCGATACTGCAGGCAGCAATGTTAAGAGCAGTCCGTATTAGGGCTGCGACGAGTAGTCGAATGTTCGAGTACCCGCACTGTTGACAACTACTCGAGTACGATTTCTCGTACTCGAATATTCGACCGCAAAAAAAAAAAAATTCCCGGTCACCTGGCACTGTCCAGGCCGACGCTAACCCGTGCCAGGAAGAGCGCCTGCCGCTGGCATGGTACCGTCGGTAAAAATGTTTCCCAGCTCAATCACTGTCAAACTCACCACTCAGAAACTGGGACCAAATGTCCAGATTTCTGTTTGGACTCGGAGGAAAATGAATTATTCTGCCATCTTTGGTTTTTGAAACAGCATTGTTTACTGTTATTATTATTATTATTAAATCGGAGCCTTCAACTGCAACTCAAAGTAAAATTGCATGAGTTTTCGAAGACGGACCTGGAATACTGCTCCCGTGGTATGGTGGTGGCAAAAATACAAAAAAAACATGGCGTCCGAATATTCGAGTATTCGCTTGTAAGCCTGGGAGTGTACTCGGGTACCTCATTACACGGTTGTGCACTGCCTTAGTCCATATGGTGTTGTGACCATAGGTCATGTGTGACCTAAATTCGCTATCTCAAGAAATCGGTAAGATTTTGAAAATCTGATATCACCAATAGAAAGAAGAATATAAAATCACACAGAGACAGAATTTTTGTCGGAATTGGGTATGAAATTATGAAAATATTGACAAAAGACAAAATTTCTAGCACTACTTTGTATGTGGGAAAGAGTTTTAATAAATTTGTTTACACACGGAAGCCTCATCAGCATTAAAGGGCATTTCAATCCTTGACATAAGTTCATTTTAATGAAAGCAGAAAATAAACAGAATGGCAAAAGTTTGAATAATAATAATAATAATATTTAATTTTTATATAGCGCTTAATACAAATGTCTCTAAGCGCTTTACAAATATACTATTACCCCGGTCATTGGATTTAGTGCTTGCCACTGCCATCTCCATTGCCATCTCCACTCCCTGGGGAGCATTCCAGCCGGGAGTTACTTGACGCTCACAAGCTGTTTGACCAACAATGACGGCCGCATCCTACCGGGTACCCATTTGACACCTGGGTGGAGCAAGTGCAGGTTAATATCTTGCCAAAGGAAATTAGTGCCGTGTCGGGATTCGAACCCTCGATCTTCGCATCTCCAGTCAAGCGCCTTAAACTACTCGACCACGACACTCCCGAATTAACCCGAACCACTACTAAATAGTAAAAAAGTTGTGTTTTCTTGTGCTTGCTCTGTTTACAGTTTCTCCTTTTTAAAATGTTACATGTGATTTTTATCTTTGTCTGTTAAATGCCAAAGGCGCTCATTCTGAGTAAAAGTATATGAGTTCAATGCCCCTCTGACTGCCAACAGACAATTCATGATAAATCACTTGGATAGGATTAGTGAACTTCTTGTGACTACATCAAATGTTACACAAGAATTCTTCAAAATGAAAAATATTCCCCAAAATAGTATCAGAAGGCACTCTTATTAGTTTCAAAGTAACAATACACCTAACTTACAAGATATAAAGAAGAACCAGGAATCAATAGAAGTAGAAAATATTTGCAGTCATTGACCTTTTTCCCAATTCTTACATTAAAAACAAATTACACACAGTACACTCTATTTCACCTTCAAAAGTGCACACAGTAGTGTCATCTCTGCTATTGTTATTACATTACATGTACATGTATCTTGATATTGTTTCTAACTGCTATGGGCTGATCCTGCAAATAATTGATGGTTGAGGTTCAACTTTGGCAAATATGACTGAAAGCATTCTGCAAATAAAATGTACTGTAGTTCGTGTTTGCAATTGACTGAATATATTTCTTCTGTTATACTTGATTTGCATGTTATGAAGTGATTAACTGTATTAAATGTTATCCTTAAAGTATTTTTGGAGTATTTTGACTGTCATTAGGCCCATTTACACAGCCCAAACACTGTTTTGAAAAATCATAGATTTTTAGGACTGCTACAAAAAACTGTATGTTCACTTCTGGAAGAGCCCTTCAAAAACAAATTTGGTGATTGCTAATTCCAATTTTGTCAAAAACTTCAAATTTTCTGGAACGGATGTAAAAGATTTTCCAATTTCACACCCAATTCAAAAAATTCTTATACTTGAGACGTAATGTTGGAAAATTTAATTGGTCAAGTCGAAGAACTCGACTGCAGCTCAATTTGCCCACACTTATATATACCGTATACAATTTGCCTACATTTATATACATGTATACCGTATACAATTTGCCTACATTTATATATACTGTATACAATTTGAAGAGGCAATATATCGCATGCTAATAATGCGATGTAGCATTCATACTGTGTTGCAATGATTGATCCATGACTGCACAAATCTAAGGATGAGTCATCGCCATGGTGATGAGAGTTCTAACAAAAAGGCCCCCGCTGCCTAGAGACTTCCTCCATGCTTACAAAATGTCATTACTTCTCCCCAAGATAGCCTATGATAGGCACTCCATTACATTCACATGCTTTAGTACTTGCATTTTAGATGTGATGGGTTTTGTCTGTCGTAATGTGATGTATGATTTTTGAAGGATGCATTGTTTTCAAACTATAAAATACTTGTATTATATTATTGATCATGACTGTACCACAATAAAGGCATGATATATGCAATACCAGTATTCAAAATAATTTCCTTTTTCCCCCTCTGTTTAGCTCACCCGAGCCAAGGCTCTTGAAAGTGAGCTATTGCGATCAATTTTTGTTGGTCGTCTGACATCCATAAACTTTTTACATGTTCAATTTTTTTCTCAAAAATACATAGCCTGATTTTAACCAAATTTTATAGGGATCATCCTTCATCAAGGGTGATCTAAAGACAAAAGTTATTCAATATGTTTGAAAGGGGTACCTTTGATACAAACAGTTTTCATGTGAACATGATTTAATTGATGGGACTCAGTTTGACCCACATCTACACGTATAAAGAGTCAAACCTGTCTATAATAATAATAATAATAATAACAATAGCTTAATAGTTCACTCCAAATTTTATAATGGCCATTGGGGTATCAGATTAGTATAGACAAGTGGCCTTTCTTAGAAGGTAGAATTTATAAGAGGGGTCCACTTGTTCAGTATTATATAATAGGAATTAATATGTTATATGATACCCTACAATTTTATTACTGTAAAATTTAGAACTTCAAACTTTGAATAGAAATCAATCTTGATCTCTTTCTTGTTTCTGATACAGGTTTATCTGGGAGGATTTGAGTGTTTGGTTTGATTGGTTTACTCTGCTATTTGCATGGTGTATCATCGCTCTACTATATCTATCTGTCTTATTGGTAAGTCAAATTATACCAGTGTAAACATTGACATTAATGTAACTCTTTTGGGTGCCAGGCATTATTCATTTCATTTGCACATAACAATGCAGGTTTACACTATCCATACATGCATGGACCTACAACAAATGATACATGAGTCACAACAATAATAATAATAATAATAATAATAATAATAAATTTACATAGCGCAGCTTTTATACAAAATATATTCAGCTGTGCTGGAAGGTGACATTAGATTATTATGCAATCACATCTTTCTGCATTTTACAACACAACAGAAGCAAGCATATTTTAATAAAAACAAAAATTATAAAATACATGTGACAAACACTGGCGAAGGTTTTAATCTAAATCATCCCATTATAAGCAAGTCTTCTGATCATGCACATAATTAAAATACATGAATACGTATGAAGTCCATAACACATATAGGAATTTAGTAAAAATATTACAACTACCACGAGGCCCCTGAATATGCCAAGATCTCTAGTGTGTGTGTGTGCGGGGGGGGGGGGGGGGGGGGGGGGATAACATTATTGATGCCCCAAACTAAAGCTGAAGATTCAACCGTATCTATTGATTTGGAAGGGTCGAGATGAACAAATGTTCATCTTAACCATGGGCCCATGTATTACTACAGTACATACAATTTTACTTTTTCTTTTGTTCTATCATAATTGCTAAATGAAAGTTTCTTCCTCTTTTCATTGTTTGTTTTTAGATATTTATACTCATTAATAAACAGACTTTGATAACTCTCTCTCTCTCTCTCTCTGTCTCTCTCCATCCCCCCTCCCTCTCTTTCTCTCTCTCTCTTCCTCTCTCTCTCTCTCTCTCACACTCCTTTTCCCTCTGCTCTCCCCTCAACTCTCTTCTCCCATTTCTCCTTATATAAATACCTTCATCTACCTGTCTCCTCATCTCTTATCCATCATTTCTCTTTACCCTACCACATTCTACATTCTGTTTTCATTGATTCTCCATACTCCCACCTCACACCATCCACCTACAGCTTTTGGCTATCAGCCATTGTTTTATAGGACAGCAGCTGTACCTGCACTGGTTTCACAAGGCACTACAAGTCTTGATCCTCTTGGGATGTATCATCACAGCAGCCATGATGAGTAAGCTCTGGGGGTCCGAGTTCCACCTCCTAGCCATCTCTTTACAGGTCAGTATCACTCCTAATCTAGCACTAATAATGGTAATAATATGAGGCCCTTTCCTTTTAAAGCATTGAAATAAATCCAAACCTATATTTTGCCAATCAATGTGGCCCCTTATTCTACTAACCTGTAATCCCGAAGCTGGTTTTAGGCTTCTATGTAAATCCCATCTGTACTAGTTTGACCAGGAGGGATTAGACCTCCCTGCATGGTCACTGACAGGTGGTTATCTCAAATCAGCTCTCAAATTAATATAAGAAAAGGGGTGGGCATAAGTAGCTTAAAGTAGTGCAGAGGGGCTTGAAAGACAAGGTTAACAAAAGAAGTTAGTCTAGGTTTAGGTTTGCGTTTGGTAGAATTACATTGGTAGTATTACATAAGTATAATTACATTAGTACAATTACATTAGTACAATTACATTTGTAGAATTACAGTAGTAGAATAACATTAGTAGAATAACAGTAGTAGAATATCATTAGTAGAATTACATTAGTAGAATAACATTAGTAGAATTACATGAGTACAATTACATTAGTAGAATTACATTTAATTAAGTAGAATTACATTACCGTATTTGCCGGCGTAAAGCCCGCAGTATTTTTGGAAGAGAAAATATCAAAAAGTCGGGGTCGGCGAAACAGGAAAAAAAAAAAAAAAAGTCAAAACCAGCACGAATTTGTACATATGGGACTAGATCGACAAACGGTACAATAACTATACATTTCCACACATCTTACCGACAATTTTATCTTGCATTGCTGACATGAAGACGAAAATAAACCTCCAAAAACAACATCTGCCGATAGATTTTGATCTAAGTTCGTGCCAATGCATTGCAAAAGTAAAAGAAGGGCCCGTTTAACGGAGCAGCCGTGAAGCATCCAGCACGCGAAGTCGCCATTTTCAGTCCATTTCAATGACTACATCACAGAAAACTGCAGTGTATGGTATCAGTGCAGGATGGCAGAGCGGTTTTAGGAGGTGATTTTAGTCACATCAACATTTGTATGCAAGAGATCGAATCCCAACTTTGGCAAAAGATTTTTTTTTTTTTTTAAATGTCAAAATCGGGGGTGCGGCCTATACCGCGCTGCGGCCTTATCGCCGGCAAATACGGTAATAGATTTACATTTAATTGAGTAGAAATACATTAGTAGGATTACATTAGTAGAATTACAGTAGTAGAAGAACATTAGTAGAAGAACATTAGTAGAATAACATTAGTAGAATTACATTTAGTAGAATTACATTTAGTAGAATTACATTAGTAGCATTACATTAGTAGAATAACATTAGTAGAATAACAGTAGTAGATTTACATTTGTAGAATTACATCAATAGATTTGCATTTACTTGAGTAGAAGTACATTAGTAGGATTACATTAGTAGAATTACAGTAGTAGAAGAACATTAGTAGAAGAACATTAGTAGAATTACATTAGTAGAATTACATTAGTAGAATAACATTTAGTAGAATTACATTAGTAGCATTACATTAGTAGAATAACATTAGTAGATGAACATTAGTAGATGAACATTAGTAGAATTACAGTAGTAGAATAACATTAGTAGATGAACATTAGTAGATGAACATTAGTGGAAGAACATTAGTAGAATAGGGACCTACATACATGTATAAGTTGATCAATTATAAATCCCTTATATACATAATACATGACATTCGCCACTCTTAACAGAGCTCTGGATTGATTCTGCTGTTCGATACAAATTTCTCTATTCACAGTCGCATATCATCAAAGTGATGCATGTACGTAATATGTGCGCAATCTCCACTTTATCAATGGTGGGGAGCACATATCATGCATCTGCCAAACAAGTTGATTCATGTAATTTTTTCAGTAAGTAAAAACTTGATTTGTCCCAATTTATGTTTCTTGAGACTGTGGCATGTTGAAGCATTTGTAAAGTATTCGACAAAGGCCCCTATTCAACCAGTCAACCTTTCATTCTTGAGTGAGGAAAAACAAAAACAAAATTGCAAATTGACAAGGGGTATGAATAGTTAATTAGTTGTTAACTATACATGGATTTTTTTATAAGCATAAGATTAACTTTCTCAAGGATATTAGAACCCAGATCTAATATGTTATATTATGTAAAGAGATGAAGACTTTCACATTATGAGATACTTCATGAAGTCATAGATATGTACATATTCTCATTCTCATCTACATTATATTCCCTAACTCCAGTACCCCACCCTATTCCCTCATCCCACTCTAGCTTGTAGAAATAATCCCGATGGCAGCTAAGTACAGCTAAACCCTATTCCAAGTGAGCAGACGCTCTCTTCATTATCCAGCTTAACAAAATTGCAAGAAGCTTAAATCAATATCCATTAGATGAGATGTGTAGAGCCAAGGGCAACTCTACATCATATTTTGAATTCCAAATATCCCCATCCAAGTCCGCTCCCTTCAAAAACCACTTGCCCACATATCCACATCTGTGTCTGTTTATTTTGCCTGCAGATAGTTTTTTAATCCAACTAGCCTATTATAAGCGTAGACCTAGATAGAATTTACCTCTTTTAAATTGTAATTGGTATACAAACAGATCATTGGCTCTCAAGTTTGCTTCCTATGTGTAATATTTGATTGTGGTTGTTTTGTATTGAAGTGTGTTCCAGTGTTTGGAATAAGAAAAGTACAGAAACGGATTGAGAATGACCTCATCAAAATGAGGACAACATTTATTGAAAGGAGAATAATTATGTGAACAGAGTAAAGAACAGAAAGACAGGCAGAGAAAAGAGAAAATGAGAGGGATAAAGATGTAAACACATGTATAAGAGTGGAAAGAATCAGAAGTAAATAGAGAGGAAGAGTAATGTAGAGAATAGAAAGAAAAGAAATATCTGTTCAGACTTCATAGCTATAGAAGCATTAAGTCTGTCTTTAAAGTGTATGAAATATTGTCCTTCTTGCTTCAAACATATACATGTATACAGGTGAGAAGATCTACAGAGAGAAAGAAAAGATAGAGGGAGGTACATTGAGTAAGGAAGGGAGAGAGCAGGAGAGATAATAACAGAGGCAGAGAAGGGGGACTAGTGAAAATCAAATATGATATTTATGTATATTCAAATTAGCGAAGCATTTCCATCCATGAGTGTAATTGTTGGGGGGGGGGGGGGGGGGTACCAGACTTGTGTACATTGTAGGTAGATGAAATGCAAAAAAACAAAACGAGGCCATTTAATGAGAAGAGGTTGTATAATTTTCTTTTCCACTTCGCCTTCTCTTTACCACCCTTCCTTCTCTTTCCCTTTATATACAGTCAAACCTATACAGCGACCGCTCAAGGGAAATAAAAAATGTGCTTGTTGTAGACAGGGTCCTTTAGTACATGTTTCAATGAGAAACCATTTTCAAGGGAATCATACAATGTGCTTGTAGACAGGTGGTCACTAAAGCAGGTTTGACTGTATATACATTTTTTTTGGGGGGGGGGAGGGGGGGGGGGAGCATGTTGTTTTGTATGTGTCCCCTCCCTATATCTACATGTATGCGCCTGTGTATGTATTAAAAAAAAACAAGTAAGCTGACATCTAATCACACTTCCACTGACCTTCATGACAATAGCAGAGGAAATCCTTTTGATTAAACCTCTTTTGTTGTAAGGTACATGTGTCCATGTATATTGTTCGAGCTACATTCCTTCTTTCCGTTACTCTCAGCATATACCCCAAAAATAACTTTAAAATAAGGTAGGAACTATAAACACCCTAGGCCAAGTTTACAAAATAAAATGTAAAAGTTGCTCAGATAATGTGACATAGTTGTACATACATGTACATGTAATAAATATGAAAAGCAGTTTGAAACTTGTTTGATGTAGCGAGAATTTTATATGTGATCATTCCAAGAGCTCAAGTATCATAAAAAGGACAAGAAATTATCACATTACAGTAAGACATGCAATAACAGTACAGATATATATCCCTGATAGATTCCCAGGTCTAGAATTGATATAAATCAGTCAAATTAAAGCATTAATTAGATTAATTTCTTGCTGGATTGTCTTGAAACTTTTATTTTCTTTGAACTTAGTTTTTGTAATTGATATATGATACCTCAGCATATTCTGGTTGTGTCACCTGAGAACTTGACTATACCACTTATTGATTTTCTTGTTTATATAATTGTTTTATATACATGTATTGTGAAACAAAATATTCATGTATATGAATGAAGTGTACTAATAAAATTCAAATTCAATAGCATTCCAACTTCATGCAATGTTTGCCGATTTGTATCTTGGTTCAATAATCTGTTTCTGCACAATCATGCTTCAAGGCATTATTGCTTTAATTTGGTCATTAACATTACAGCAAAAATTGAACCACGATGTTCTTGTAATCATCATAATAATTCATTTTGTTTGTATTGTAGGTTGGGATATTTTGTTGATGAAATTTGCATACCATTATATTGTTTGCACTAGTTAAGGTCTTGTTTGCCAAACCAAAGAGCCTAACTTAGTGGAGACAGTCACTTTGAATGAATTGATATTGATATAACAGTAAGTGGATATGACCAAAGAATGAAACAATATTTGTGCAATATTTCTTTTGCTTCAATAATAAGGTGAATGTCTGCTTCCTTACTTGGCATGTATTTTAACATGTTGTGAATATAACATTGAGTTGCTTAGCTCCACAAAATTACAGGCAAGAGATTTCTTGAAATTCGGGGTAACGAAAGGACGATTTAAGTTGTCTTGCTGTTGTAGCCCGGTTAGGTGTAACAAGAATCTATTGGTTAGAGTTGTGTAAAGTGGACAGAATGACATAAAACTAAAGTGTGAAATTACAAAATAGGATTTAACAAAGATAAATAATTGGCATTTGAAAGTTTGCCAAACAACCAGTTTTTAACCTCTTAAAGGTACTATGTCCCATTTGCAGGCCAAAAAAATGAAAAAGTTAAATTCCAACTGCATTTGAAAGATGATACTAATTTAGAACTTCCCTAAAAAAGGT